GGGATGGACAGGGGAGTGATAAGATCCTATCTCAAAAGAACAAGTCCTGCCTGGTGGAGCACATCTGTAATCCTAGCTACTCAGAAAGCAGAGATAGGAAGATTGAGATCCAAAGCTGGCAAAAACAAGATCCTATCTGAAAAATAACTAAAGCAAAAATGGATAGGGGTACAGCACAAGTGGTAGAGTGTTTACCTAGCAACTGTGAGGCCCCAAGTTCACATCTCAATATTGCCCTCCCTAAATAAACTGCTTGACAAATATATACATGAGCTGAAAATCACAATAAAACCTCTTTGCACATTTTACTAAAAAAAAAAAAAAAACTAGAGCATTGCCTAATTCAAGGCTTTGAACTCAACCCCAGTCTCTCTCCCTCCCTCTCTCTCTCTCTCACACACAACACACACACACACACACACACACACACACACACACATCCCTTTGAGTCCTATCTGCCAAGAACTCAGGAAGGGTTAGGAATGGCAGAAAAGCCATTTACTTAAAAAAAGAACAAATTTTGAAAGAAGTGGTAATATACACTACCACCATGCCAACCAGAAAAGATCTATTCCACCTGACCCATTCTCTTTTTTTAAGGTTTTACTCTTTTCATGTAAAACTAGCCATTTCACCCATGACTGCTAATTACCCTACTAAACTTTCAAGTACTGCACATCAGAGCTAAAGGAGCTGGAATGCAAGTTCTTTTGTGAATAAAATCCTGTTAATATGGTTCATTACTGAAATACAAATTACAACCACCACTCTCAGGAAATGAACACTGAAAAGAAGGTTAAATTCTTTTACCTTATTTACTCACCAGTGGGTAATGTGGTCTGAGTTTGCCAGTATAGCGGTAGCCTGTCCATGGGTCTGTGTTAATGTCCCCTTCAACAGTCCAGGAGGATACCTCTCTCTTAGCCTTTTCATCTTCTGTGAGAGGACAGATAGACACAGGGAGAAGCAGGGAGAAGAGAAAGGAGTATACTTCAGAGTCAAGTTTCCGCACAGTAGTACCCTTTAGTGAGTGCTTACTCAGTTAAAAAAGAAGTCAGAACACCCAGTACAAAACTCTAGCAAACCTCCACCATAACCAGAGTCACACTGCTGTGTTCACAACCTTCTGAACTCCAGGGAACCTCACAGTCTTGCTCAGTTTTTTTGTTCCTATTTGGCAGTCTACCACTTGAGCCACACCTCTAATTCCAACTTTTTCCTCGTTAATTAGAGATTAATCTGAGACTTTTCAATTAACCAGAAGTCTCTCAGATATGAACAACTAGATTGGCTGCAGATCTCGGCATCCTGAGTAGCTAGGATTACAGGTGTAAGCCACTAGCACCAAGCTGGAAGTTCACTTTAAAATACCAAACATAAAGCCAGGCATGGTGGCACATGCCTAAAATCTCAGTATTCAGAGGCTTAGATCCATAGCTACATAGCAAGACCCTGTCTTTAAAATACAGATATACACACAAATACATAAGTGAACTGAAATGTGAGCCCTACCAAAACCTATCTAACAGAAATTGTCAATAAATAATTAAGTTTTTTGTTTATCTTTGGGGTCTCACTATGGAGCCCAGGCTAGCAATCCTTCTGCTTCTCAAGTGCTGTGGTTACAGACCTAGGTCTCCATGTACAACTCCTAACTGAAATCAGATATGACAGATAAATTACGCTTTTATTAAAAGAGCTTGAGCCAGTGTGGCGGGCATATGCCTGCAATCATAGCACTTGAGAAATGGGGCAGAAAAATAGTAAATCCAAGTCCAGTCTGGGCTATATATTAAGTCTGTGTCTCAAAAAAACCCAAAAACAAACAACAAACAAAGCTCTCCCAAAGCAATCTTAAAAAATACTATTTCCACTTAACTGACTAGTAACTTTTCAGTCAATATTTCAAACTGTTTTGATAATTTTATGGCTGTCGTGTACCTTGTTTTTAGAAGGAAAAACCAGGAAGAGCAGCAAAGAAACAAAAAGGAAAGAACAATTCGTTGTAAGTCACTTAATAATGAGTAGAAAACTCAAGGGAACAAATACACAAATTACCATGTTAACTATTAATAATTAATGGTATATTTACTGAAATGCACTAATAATCCTTTCACATAGAACAGATCCTCAATGGTACATTATGTCAGCACACTGTGCACCTCCCCCTCCCATCTACAAAGTAAAATATAACTAGTAAGCTAGGTCTTTACATAGAAGAATCCAGCTTGGCATAGATGCTGGTTACCACCAGTTTGTTTTGGTTTTTTTTTTTTTGGGGGGGGGGTCCGGTCATGGGGCCTGAACTCTGGGCCTGGGCACTGTCCCTCAGCTCTTCAGCTCAAGGCTAGCGCTCTACACTTGAGCCACAGCGCCACTTCCGGCTTATTTCTTTTTGTTTATGTGGTGCTGAGGAATTGAACCCAGGGCCTCAGGCATGCAAGGCAAGCACTCTACCACTGAGCCACCTTCCCAGCCCTGGTTACCACCTGTTAATTCCAGGTAAGTGGAAGTGTAGCTAGGAAGATGGAGGTTCAAGGCTGTCCCAGGTAAAAAGCAATTACCATGTGAAGGAAGAGTGAATAATGTTAAATACTCTCTTGAAAACACATCCCTGGAATTTGCAGTAAGAAATCAAAATTTTATCTTTTATGCTTTGACAACTTCCACTTAAATCATTCCTTTGCTCTAACTACTCCTCCTCTGCACCAAGCATTGCTATCACACACAGGTGTCACTTTATACCACCACAGAAAATGCAACTTTTTTAAAACAGGGGCATACAAAGATGAATACAAGGTCAGTAACCAAAAACCCTATGCTACTTGCCAAATCTCCACCCATCAGACAGCATGGAAAGCCCTTGTCAAGTTTCCAAGTGACTGTAACAACAAGCTGTGGTAAGTCAGCCACACTAACAAGAGGCTGATAGCTTCATCTTGTGGTATACACAAAATAACTTCAAAAAAGAAAACCAAACATTACACTGCAAGAAATAACCTGAAGATCCCAGAAGAAAGTACATTCATCCCATAGTACCCCTTGTAAACCCAAGCATTTGCAGGCACTTATGTACATCTTTCCCACACATTTCATTTCCAGATTATGTGTAGTCCCTAAAATCATGTAAGGTCTATGGGAACTGTGGGTATTCTGTATGGTCTAGGAAACAAGGACAAGAAAAAGTTTGTACCCACTCAGTAGAGATGAAAACCGTTTTCAAACACAGTTGTATGAATCTGTGGCTATGGTATTCACAGATGTAGAATCATAAAACACAGAAGCCTGACTATAATAAACCTTGAGTAGAAAAGGCAGTGTGAACTGAAACTAAGCAAATGCAAAAGGAATCTGTCTAAATGAGTCAGAGTTCATGTGTCTTCAGCCTATGATATGGTAATACTTCCAACAAAGACAAGAGGGTAAAAAGACAATGGATATTTGTCAACCACTACTCATGTTTCATGCTACCTACGTGAAATACGATTAACCTATATTACTACATTTTAGTCGTGGTTACCTATTCTACAGACTATTCTAGCATTAATGCTAGAATTCCCCTTTATTCTTCACGATAGGTAAACACACATTCAAACATAGACATTCAGAACATAGAGAATTCCCATCTCCTGGTACAAAGTCACTTCTAAGACAAAGTGTCTAAAGATAAGTGTTTTACTTACTTGCTTTCTTATGTAGTAACTTGTGAGTGGCCCAACTCCCTTTAAAACATTCCTAGAAGAACAAACAAGGAAATTAGTATCAAGCCACTTTAACTAGAAATGTTTCTTTTGGAGGTGGTATGGTTGGTGCTGGGGTTTGAACTCAGGGCCTAATACTTGCTAGCCAAATAATTACCACTTGAGCTATACAGCAACACTCTTAATTAGAAAAAAAAAATTTTCTTTTGTTTTTCTTTTTGTTTTTGGTTGTGGGACTTGAACTCTGGGCCTGGGCGCTGTCCCTCAGCTCTTCAGCTCAAAGCTAGTGCTCTACCACTTCAGCCACAGCACCACTTCCAGTTTTCTGGTGGTTAATTGGAGAGACAAGGCTCACAGACTTTCCTGCCTAGGCTGGCTTTGAACCAAGATCCTCAGATCTCAGCCTCGAGTAGTTAGGATTACAGGCATGAGCCACCTGTGCCCGGCATTAATTTTAACGAATGTTAAATGTAGGAAATAGTTATTGCAAGTTTTATTTGCAAAAAAAAAAGCAACTAAAAATTATGAAAAAAATATAGAAATGGGCCCTTTTTAAAACTTCTCTTCAAAAGGCAAAAAGGGCATAATTTAGAGGTAAACTGCTTACCTAGTATGTGCAAGTCCTGGGATCAACCTACACACACACACACACACACACACACACACACACACACAGAGCATACTACACAACCTACACACACACACACACACACACACACACACACACAGCACACTACACACAGCTAAACTTTATATCAAAGAAGAAAAAAATTAATTATCCCTTAGGTTGAATAGTTGTCATGGTCATAATGAAATTTTATTTCACCAAATTATTTTCGAGTATGTAAAAAGACCCATTAATCAGTCACTCCCCATCAGATACTGGAAAAAATAAGTAACATTTTAAAGATTCTTTCATTATGTAGAGTAGCAGGTCTTCAGTCAGTCATGCACACAATCACTAGCACCTGGATGTAATGGGCCTAGAACACAAACACGGTGAGGCTTTGGCACCTCTGTTTGGCTGACAACTAGAGACAAAGTGTGTCACTTAGGAAACTATGACTGCAATAAAAAGTAACAGTGAAAACTGTTCAAAGCCTTCAGAAACTGAAAAAGACAGAGAAAAGGACAAACCCTTAGGTACAAAGAGGAACACAGAAAGGCTTCAGCCCTGAAATCTGTGGCAGACTTCTACCCTACCAAATTGGTTTATTCCTCCTTTCCTCCTTCCTTCCCTCTCCTCCTTCCTATTCTTCCCTCCCTCTTCCTGTATTGCTCCCTCCCTCTTTCTCTCCTTCCATTTCCAGGGACCTTGACCCACACTGTTGAGATAATAAACTTGTGTTCTTTTAAGTCACCAAGTTGTGACAACCAGTCATGGCAGCTATAGAAAATACAGGAGATAAAATAGTTCATCCCTGTCATCAAACTGTAAAACTGATGAAAAGATTGGTTCCTCCCAACCCCATTGTCAGAAAACTAAAGATTCTAGCACAAAAGACAGAGATTACAACCAATCACTAAGGCCGGAAAAAAGTGGTTTCTCTGATATTATTAATTTGCTCAGAATAAACCTGTTAAACCACAATGATGAAAATGATAACAGTTATTACCTACATTCTTCTCTAATCCTCACAAAATCTATCAAGAGTGATATAACATCCCATTTCAAAAATGACAAAAACTGAAGCTCAGACAGCATGGTAGCTCATCTACATCACATAAAGAAACTGTAACTGGCCAAAGGGGGACTGTAACCCAAGATGACCTGACTAAAAGTCATGCCTTCCCGTGGCTTTGCTGTGCCCCATGTACACACACACAATATTCAAAGCATTAATCGAGGTCCAGACACAGAACTAGAATGCATGGATCTGATTAAGCAGCCCCTTCACTTCTAAGGTGGGACTCTCATCTCCACAAGGTTAATAGGGCTGTTAGGGCTTGAGCAGGAAGTGTTCCCTAAGGGATTCATGTGTCAAAGGCTTGGTCTCAGCTGGTGGATCCAGTCACAGAGAAGTGATAGGGATTTGAGGACAGTAACTTTATCAATGGATATTTCTGCTGCTGTGTTCACAATGAATGGGCCATTAGAAGGAAAAGCCTGGCTGGAGGAAGTAGGTCCCAGGGGAGAGGGGAGGGCCATACCTATCTCTGAAGGAGGTATCTTGTCCCAGTCCCTACCCACCCAAAGTAAGGGAGCCAACAGACCATGAAAAGGAACCTCTGAAACCAAGGGCCAAAATAACTCTCTTCCTCCTTAAATTGTTTCTCTCAAGGTATCTTGTCAAATTAACATAACAAAAAATAACTTCCACAGTAGCAGATTAAATGAGATAATGTAAGTAACTTATATAAAGCAGTTAACAGGGTTAACACAGTTGTGTGTTGCTTGATGGGGGGGTAGAGGGGTACAGTCTGATTACATTTCCCAGGCTACAAGATATGGGCCGTTGTATACAGGACCTGTCATTGTCAGAAACATCACACTATGCATGGCATGGAGTCAGGGCCAGCCCAATGTCTATCATTACAGAGACTGAACACATCCCAGCACCAAAGAAGAAAGGCAGATGATGTCAACCATACGCATAGAAGTCTGCTTTCTGTTGTAGATGGAGATGGAGATGTGACCCTTGTCCCTATTACCTTCTGTGCAGACTGTGTACTGCTGACTCCACAGTCACTGTCTCTTTCTGAACAGTAATAAAGCTATGTTATAGTTGAGAGCCCAGTTCAAAATATTCCCAGCCTCCTGGATACCTGTGGTCACGCAATCCAGTTGGACAAACAAAAACTAAGCTGTTGTTGGATGGGGCTTCTGGAATCTTAGGAAACTGGCATTCAGGTTCTACTCTTTGCTGTCTTTCTGCTTCATGCTCCAGTCCCTGAGATACTGTCTCAGGTGATGTGGCAGGCAAAGTACACCTTAGGAAGCTTGGCCTTTTGTGACATCTATGTACCTACAGATTCTGTCCCAACGTGTCCATGTCCAGACCCAATGTCACCAAAACATAAAAGCAAAGACATCAGAAGAAAGCACTTTTATTTGGGGACAATGTATTAAATTAGAAAATCCATAAACAGTAAAAGTCCAAAAAGCAGCAAAAATAACTCTGTCATTTATCTGTTTGGTATTAGACCAACCAAAGGAAGACCGTAAGGACAGCAATAATAATGGTAAGCAGGCTAAATAACAGCCACCCAAAGATACCAAGTTCTACTCTCCTGGAACTGTACAGGTTACTTGATTTGGAAAAACCGTTCTTTGCAGTTATGACTACATTAAGAATTCTGTGTTAGGTTATTCTAGCATGTCCAGGTGGGCTCTAAATACCACTTAGTTAGAAAAGACACTGAGGTAGACTATGCACATACCAGAGGAGAAGATAACTCGACCAGTGAGGTAAAGATTGGAATGCTAAACCACAAGTCAAGGAATGCTGGCAGCCACCAGAGATTAGACAAAACAAGAACAAATTCTCAGGAGACCCATCTGAAGGGAACACAGTCTTGACCTTCATGCTTCCTTTAGGCTTACTGAAACTGACTTTGGAGCCAAACATAATGGCCCCTGCCCATAATCCCAGCACTCAGGAAGCTGGGGTGGGAGTAACAAAAAGTTTAAGAATAGCCTGGGCTTCCCAGGCTACACAGAAGACCCTGTCTTAAAGCTAAGGATGAGAGCCGAGTGCCACTGGCAAATGCCTGTAATCCTAGCTACTCAGGAGGCTGAGATCTGAGGATCACAGTTCAAAGCCAACCTGGGCAGGAAAGTCTGTGAGACTCTGACCTCCAATTAACCACCAGAAAACCAGACGTGGTGGCACTGTGGCTCAAGGGACAGAGTACTAGCCTTGAGCTGAAAAGCTCAGGGACTCAGCACTCAGACCTAGAGGTCAAGCCCCACGACCAACCAAAAAAAAAAAAAAAAAAAAAAAAAGGATGAGTTGGGCACTGGTGGCTCACGCCTGTAATCCTAGAGACTCAGGAGGCTTAGATCTGAAGATCATGGTTCAAAGCCAGCCCAGTCAGGAAAGTCCATGAGACTCATCTCCATTAGAAAACTGAAAGTGGCATTGTGGTTCTTTACTCAGGGACAGTGCCCAGGCCCTAAGTTCAAGCCCCACAACTAACTAAATAAATACATTAATAAATGCATAAATAAATAAATGTGAGATGGGGGAAGGGAGGGAAGGAGAGAGGGAGAAAAGGAGAGAAGGAAGAGGGAGGGACAAATTTTGGACTTCTGGCCTCCAGAACTTGTGGTAGCATCTTTTTGTTGGTTTTACACCATCTAATTAACTCCTAGTTTGTGGTAATTTGTTACTGTAGTCACAGAAAACTTATAGAGCAACTTGTTAACAAGACATCAGGGCACACCAGAAAAATGACTCTAATAACTGCATTGCAACTGGGTAAAAGACAAATGACTGCCTTCCTGAAGCTTTCTTTGCTCACACGCACTGGCTATGGAGTTACTCCTCATTATTCGTGGTCACAGTTAAGCAGGGAGGACAAACACAGCTTACTTTGAGACACATAACTTCATACAGCAATGTCAACTTCTCTTCCTTTCCATAAATGTCATGGAGTTGTACATGTTTCTGTCTTACAGTCTAGTCTATAGCAGAGTTATTTATGCCACTAAGTCTCAACAAAGAATAGAAAGTGGACGGGTAAAGGAAGACAGTGAACAGAAAAGCAGGTTCTAGAATCTAGTTCAGATCTCATTTTAGAAACCTAAAAATCTGCTAGACCCAGGGGCAAAGTCCCACTATGGCAGAATGTTAGATGTACCATCTCTAGTGAATACTACAAATAAAGCTAGGGAAATCTCCCCAAAAGTGGAGCAAATGACGTAACAAGTGGTTGGGTACAGTAGCTCACACCTGTAATCCTAGCCACTTAGGAGGTTGAGATCTGAGGATCGTAGTTCAGAGCCAATCCAGGTAAAAAGTTAGCAAGATCCCATTCTCAACATGAAGGTTAGAAGGTTACACATGTTGTTTCACATCTATGATCTCAGGA